CAAACCACCTGCCCCATCCACCAGCATCTGCTGAAAAAAACCCCAGACCAAACTCCCTCCACTCCCTTTCCCTGCTCCCATTCTAAAAACAGTCACAGGCTGGGAGGTCCACAGACACAAGTTACAGAATGCATCCTGTTTTGGAGTGTGTTCATCTGAATCTTCATGCAACGAGGGTTCGGATTTTCGCAAAATTGGGCCCGTATAAAGCAGCCTGCAGCTGTGCACTTTTGTTTGGTCATGGCTGTACAAAGCCTCTACAACCTGGTAGAGGCTTTGATCAAAGCCTCTACAACTTGGCTTGCTGGGGCCAGATCAGGTGAAAATTGTCACTTCTGTCTGTGCCCTATGAGCATACAAGCACTCAGTCAGCTTCTCCCAGGGGGAAACATGCCACCTCCTGGAGAAAGATTGTCTTTTCTTGAAGAAAGTTGGCACCTGGAAGATTTCCCTTGCAAGAGAAAATGTTTGGCATGGAAGAATGCATACACCCTTCCCAGCGTACTCCACGAGCGGAATATAGAAGCAGAGCAAAGCCTCCTAACACCGCCCAGACTAGGGTCCATGCTCAGAGATGGCAGCAGAACATAGCAGACTGTTCCCTACCCTATTACACAGGCTGGGATGATCCCAGTGAGAGTGAGGTGTGGGGAGTCTTTCCCTGTCAATCAACTCCTAGTCCACAGAAGAGGGACTGTGAGTATTGAAGTAGCCACTGAAAGACTATACATGAACACATGTACACTCCACCTATTGAAAAGATTTCTATGGGTGGAAATTTCTGAGAATTATGTACCAGTAGAAATAAACACCTATTCATGGCCTGAGACACACCAGTTCAGCCAGCTGGATTTCAATTGTCTTCTAGTACAGATTTAAAAAACAAACAACCCCCAAAGCATTAAGGATGAATAGTGTCCATAAGGGATGTTGTTTATTAGAAATCATTTCCTTCACATAACCTACTCCAAAAGAGATCAACTCAGGAAGGAAATCACTACATGCTACAACAACTTAACAGAGATAAATCCAGATATCTCCTCAAACATTATACAACATGTACAAAAAGACTACCAAATATTTTTTACAACATCCATCCAACATAATGTCTGGAAAAATACCTTAATAAGCAGGGATCCTGGTTTTCTATGACAAAAAACAAGTCCCCAAATTTTGGATTAAAAAAGTAACCGCAAATGAAACATCAATATATATAAACATTTTAATCACAGAAAAATTAAATTTAAAAAGTAACTCAAAATTCATATTTTTTCCTGATTAAAATGAAACACCACTAATATATAGTTATATAGATATCTATATATTAGTACAGATATCTATATATTAGTGGTGTTTCATTTTAATCAGGGAAAAATATGGATTTTGGGTTACTTTTTTATCCAAAAATTGGGGATTTCTTTTTATCAGAGAAAACCAGGATCCCTGGTAATAAAATACTACAATGCAGAGAAGTAGAATAATTTTTCCAAAGCCTCTGTCTCAAGTAATATTTCCACAATGAAAACAAATCCACTTTCAACAACACTTCATCCTGTGACAACATTAAGGAAAAGATTAACCCCCAAAAATGAAATTCAAACCTTGACTGCTATATATTGACTGTTTCAGGGAAAGAATGAACAATGAAGCAATCAACAAAAAACATCCCCACAATAACCTCTCCTGCTCAGACCACAGAATCTCTAACATTCAACCACCATATAATAATAACACCAGAGGATAACGAAGGAGCTATAGTTATTCTTAACCATGAAGACTACATAAAAGAAGCCAACAGACAACTTTCTGACACCATCTACAATGAAAAACTAGAGGAAGATCCAACTCCCCTCTTCACCTAAAACTGAAAAGCACCATCACATCATATCCATCTGAACTACAAGAAAAACTACAAAACTTGATTCCCCCACTAACCAACCCAGGGGCTTTTTACATGCTCCCTAAAATCTACAAACAAGGAAACTCAGGCAGACCTATAATATCCAACCATGAATCCAACCATGGATTCCAACCATGGAATCCTAACTGAGGAAATATCAGGTTTCATTGAATCCATCCTAAAACTTCTTGTCACCCAAAGACCGAGTTTTGTTTGAGACACAACAGACTTTCTATAAAAACTTAAAAACACAGACCACCTTCCCAGCAATACCCTCCTAGCCACCATGGATGTTATCAGCTTATATACCAACATCCCACACCAAGATGGCTTTCAAGCCTGCCTTACCTATCTGCAAGAGCAAGATTACAACTCAGAGTACAGACATAAAGATATTACTAAACTTATACATTTCATCCTCACACACAACAACTTCACTTTCAGTAACCAACATTTCCTCCAGGCCTCATAGATGGGCGCAGCTATAGGCACAAAAGTGGCCCAACAATATGCCAACCTTTTTATGACCCACCTGGAAGAAGAATCCCTTCAGAACAGCACCATCGAACTGATTCTATACCTAAGATATATAGATGACATCTTTGTCATTTGGACTGAAAATCTGCAATCTCTGATTGATTTCCGTCACAAATTCAATAATCATCACCCCTCCATCAGACTCTCTTGAATACTCCATTTCCTTTTTAGACTCTATGATCAATATCCAGAATGGTAAAATGCAAACCATCATGTACAAGAAACCCACAGACCAACATACATATCTGCACAGAACCAGCAATCACCCTAAACACACCAAGAAATCTCTAATATACAGCTGAGCCCTCCAATACCACCATTTTTGCACTGAGGAGAATACTCACAACTCTCACCTTGCTAATCTCAAAAGGGCTTTCACCCAACAAGGACAGAGAGATAGATCACACTGTTGAAAGAACCACCTGGATACCGTATAAAGAATTTCTGCAGTACAAAATGAAAATCCCCATGAATTGCACCCCATTAGTTATGACATACCATCCTTCCTTGGAACCTATACAGAAAATCCTCAAACAATTGCAACCCACACTAGAAGAAGACCCAATTCTTAAAGAGATCTTCCCAGAACCACCCAACCTAACCTTTAAACAAGCACCAAACCTTGCCAACTTCATCACCAGAAACAAACTTCCTATGGTTCAAAGCACACCGAATCAATCCAGACCATGCCGGGACAAAAAATGTAAAACCTGCCAACATATTTCCACCATTCCCACAATAACTATACCCCATAAGAGAACCATCACCATTCTTGGATCTTACACCTGCACCTCCAGAAATGTAATACATCTTATCTAGTGCACTAAATATCCTGATGGAAAATGTGTAGGAGAAACCAAACAACAAACTGCATACCGGAAGGAACACACACCAAAAATCTATCAGGCAAAAATATCCAATTACCTGTGGGTGCACACTTCTCACAAGAAAACCACTCTATCTCCAATCTCTGAGTTTTAATCCTCAAAGGGAATGTGCAAAACACCTTTCGTAGATGAGTCTACAAACTGCATATTATAAATCTACTGAATATAAAAAGTCATGGACTAAATATAGACGTTGGATTTATGGCACATTACAAGCTGCCTGACATCTGATAACCCCAGGTAACCTGTCTGCATTTTACCAGCTACATTCTTCTATCACCAGTCCAATATTCCCTCTCCTCCCCCCAATCTGTTTTACACCTTCTGTCTTCCACCCCTCTGATTCTCACTGCCATGTATTTGCGTTTTCACAGACCTGCACTTTGCATTTTGGCTTTTATTCTACCCAGGAGAGCACGCAATTCACCAGCAGACTCTCCCTATGCCTGAAAAAGGTGTTTGTACTTGAAAGCTTGCAAAGAACAATTTTTCTATTTAGTTGGTCTAATAAAAGATGTCACATCAAAGAACCTTGTCTGCCTAGTGTCCTTAAGAGCATTTTGCACTTTATAGAACACAGAGCAAGGTGATGAAAACTCCCAAGTCCTACTGACATCAGTAAACCTTAGTCTTCATTCAGCACTCCCTATTCAGAAAAGCATTTGCGCATGTATGTAAGTCTCACTGACTTAAGGTTAAGCATATATTTAAGTGCTTTGCAGAATGTGTTTGGGACTGTAGAACACCTTTTGGTGATGTCCCTGCTTTCTGTCTTCAGGCTGCTGGGGGAACAGAACTACATGTTCCTACCAAACTAATACTGGAAAGCAAATAAAAATGAATTAATCAGTTGAGACAGAACAGAAAAGATTCTGGGGAACCCCTCAGGAAAATGTGGCCCTGTGTGCTAAATTGGGTGCACAGGGTGGCATGGGACCTGAAGGCCAGGCCAAGGTGACACAGGACCTGACTGAGGCACACAGAGCCAGGTGAGGGTGACATGGACCCAATCTGGGCATACAGGGCTGGGTGGGGGCAGCATGGAGCCAGATCCAGGCAACCAGAGTCAGCCAAGGCCATGTTGGGACAAATCCAGAAATGTGGAGCATGATGCAGGGACTGGCAGAAGTAGTATGGGGTATTATCCTGGTACACAGGGCCTAATCCCAGCACATGGGGCCTGATCCAGCCTGCAGATTGGCACTGCACCACTCAGTCAGCCCATTGGGTCAAAAGATTAAGCACCACTGTACTATACATTTGTAAATCAGCAGCTTTAAAAATTATATCCCATATCCCCCAAGCAAAACTGGCCACAGTAAAATGCACAAATAGGAACAAAATGGAAGACATCATCATAGATCTTTTAGTGTTGCATATTGTTTCAGCACTGTAGGTGAAATGAATCAATAGTAAAATATTGCTTTAATTATCTGATTCCACTATTCCTCTGGGCAGTTCCCAGGCCTGTTGTGTCAGGATCAATACACTTTCCACAAATTAAAATGACTGCAAATTTCAAAAAGTGGACCTAGAGGTAAAAATGGTAACTTTGATATTGCAAAGAGCTCCAAAGAATTGTTTGTAAAGTAACATCACGTCAGCATTCTGAGCATTGTCGTGAAACAGCAGAGTTCCCTATACGGACAATGGTCCGTATACTCATGCCAACTTACTCTGAAGAATTCTTTTGTTGACCCTGAGTCCAGTGTTCCATATGCAATTTCAGTTTGTTTGGCAAGGTCTTCGGCGCTTTCTATGGGTGAGACCATTCGCTCAACAGTCAAGAAAGCAGCGAGGTTAGCAGTATAAGATGAGATAATGATGAGTGTGAAGAACCACCAAACACCTCCAACAATGCGACCTGAGAGGGATCTAAACATGAATAAGATAATGCACATTTGCCTATCTCTTATGTGAAGCAAAGAGAAAGAGAGAATGAAAGCTAGCATTATTAAGTTATTTAATAAGTAATAGCTGGTGGGAGTGAGACTTTGTACATTTAACACAGGGCTGTCCAACTTGTAAGCAGTTGGAGGCCACAAACTGCATGCCCTGCTGTGCTGCGACAAGCAATGTAAAAACACTCCTCGTGCCCTGTGCTGCACCAGGCTTTACTATGTGTGCATCTCAACCTGCTGTGCACCAAACCATGCTATGCTCCTGGGCCCCTGCTTCCCTGTCTAGCCCTGCACTGCCCTTGCGCTGGGGCCTGGAACTGGGGGGAAACCTGGAGCCCACAGCTGCTGATTCAGCCAGAGCAATTGGGGTGCTGCATCCAGCAGGAGCCTGGAGGCCCCAGATTAACCTCCCATGAGTTGGACAGATCTGGTTTAACATATTAGTGTATATTTCATTATTTTTACACAGACACATGCACAAACACATGCACAAATTATACTATATTCTAAATGATGAAGCCAACAATTGCACATATCCTATGTATTCATAGCATTATGGATATGCTGTAGTGATAATTATAACTACTTCTTAAACACAGGAAATGCTTGATAGACTACACTGCCCATGAATTATAATAGAAATGTGGTATATTTTTTGTAAATCAAAAATGAAGCACCCTGAGCTTTAAGAAGCACTTCACAATATCTGTTTTTTCATACTTCATGAGACCAGGAATACTGGCAATAACTAATACATTATACTTTCCATTTGGATACTACATTTTATATGAGAAAAATCCTTTACAAAATAACTTCAAGAAGAGCTGAGTTAGAGAAGAGCTGAACATCATTTAAAATTTAACTCATTTTAAACATCTGAGTTTGAAATATTTGCCTGTATTTAGTCAGTTAATCAGTGGCAATTGGCTCATAACAAGGCTCTAGCAACCCTGTAAATTTTGGAAAGCTTGGCTTGGGTCAAGCTCTGGAAGATAAGTTAGAAACAGCATAGATTTTATCAGACCAATGCTAAAACATTTCTTCCCTCACATACATAGATATTCTGAAAGCAGTGACTGTACAATTTAATACAGGACAAAAATGAGACATCAAATGTGAGCCAAATAATGAGCATAACTGCATGTATTTTACTACTGTAACACAATAGGCCACATTTACCACTAATATAGTTCCACTGAAGTCAATGCAATATAGGTAGTCCATTTTATTGAGCAAATATGGAATTGCTCTTGCTTTATTTACATTGTTATAAGGAAATACCAACAAAAATTAAAATATTTATAGCTTCTCTTGCCATAGCTTTAAATGGAAAAACTGAAAAGTTCTATAAATAATGAACTTCTAAAACCACAAGTAAAAGAGGAGAAGGAGGATGTTGCGCACTTTGCCTTCAGTTTTAAAGATAAAATACAGAAGTTAAAAGATTTGACACAAACCTTGGAGAAATATCACACCCTTGCTGCATAAAGGCACCCAGGGAAAACCAAAGGCTGTTGAATATGCCAAACTCATTGGGAGGCTGATCACTGGGTCCTTCTTTCCCATCCTCTGGTTCTTCTGTGTGCCATTCATAGGGGCTAAACCTGCTAACTAGGAACAGGACCACACTGACACCAATGTAGGCAAAGACTATGCACATCCAGATCTCATAGGCCAAAGGATCCAAGAAGGAAAACACTCCTGGTTTAGATTTCTGGGGCTTTTTGATCATAATGGATATTCCCAAACTCATAAAAGGCTTGGAAAAATCAATGACCTCTTCTCGTACCAAAGTGATGGTCAGAGGTGCAACAGCAATCTCTGCTTTCTATAAGGAAAAACAAAACACACATAGATGCATAGATTAATTGAATTTGGTTTATAAACATATGTGAATAGTTAATTATGAAATTATATATTTAAAATGAACAAGCAAGATGTTTAGATGTTTTCAGATGCTGTTTATATCACATTACAGGATCTCTACATTACATGACACCCTTGATACATTAATTCAACCATTTTTTTAACAAAAAAACATGGTTCTGTTTTTTATTTTTAAATATATATTGTGTTGATGACCAGCCATGTAAAATCCTAAGAGAGGTTATTTTAGGTATTGTATTCCTAAAGGAAGATAAAAGAAAGGTAGTGAGCACATAGGGCAATTTTAAGAGTTGTATAATACGGTGTTAACAGAAAACTGCACTAGAATCATAGGCCTATCAGCACTGGATGTGGTGTACTAAATAATCTATCTCAGAAAAAGCTGTAATCATATTTTCCCTGGGTTATGAGTCCGCTTTTAGTAAAGGGGTAAACATGTCATTAAATCACCACAGTGACCATTCTACACATTGTGAAAAATTTAGAAAGAAAGAAAGAAACAAATTAACACCTCTATCCTGCAGAAATAAAGGCCACACTTAGCATGATACATTGTGAGTAGTTCTATAGAAATCACTGAGATTGCTCACAGTATGTAAAGGTAAATATGTGGTTATGTCTCTGTAGAATTGGAGTTGAATATATTCATTTTTGGTATTATTTTGGATCATATTAAATCTAGCTTTTGAGGGACAGAAATGGAAAGGTATGGTGAACCCACCACAATTTCACTATAAAAGAAAACCTAAATTGAAACCAACTGTATGACTTTACCTTCATGCAGGCAATGCCTACCCTAAACAGGGCTTCTACCTCCAACAACAATAAGAATTCATTCAGGAGATATACAGGTTGTACCGGTGGGTCACTATTATGACTTAGGGCCCATTCCTTTGATACTGGACTTAAGTTCTCTCTTTCCTTTTCCCTTAGTAAGTCCAATCATGCCAGAGCTATCAAGGAACCAC